CATTGTATATTTTTGTGTCTTACAAAGAATTTGATATGCAAAAAGAGGATATAGTTACTTCTAGCTTTGAATATTACTTATTTAAATTTTTTGATATAACTGAAAAGGATTTTGGTGTGTAAAATGATAGCCTGTTCTTCTCAAGACATGTATTTATCCATAGAATATCTTATCTCCTACACCTATCTTGTCTTCTTGGGGAACAAAAGTGCTCAACACTCCTTTGAACATAACTACTACCCTTTTTCCATAGATAAGTTAAGCATTTCTCAGATGCATCTTTTATGTTGATATGTAAGCTCCTGGGAGATCTGAAGAAAGCTGTCAGCTCCCTCTGGCTTGCTAATCCATATGTAGGGATATCTCTTCCATATACATTCTTGAAGACCATCTCTGGACAGCCAGCCATGGTATCTTTAACCATTTACTTTTTACCAATAAAGCAACCCTGAAGCAGCCCTCCAGCAGTTTCTGTTTTCTGAATGGGGAAATGATAATATCTAAGGAAAGAATTTAAAGCCATATAATACTGAGACTCAAGAGAAGTCACTAGCCCAGAGAAAAAATGGGATGTCAGACACCGGTCAAGAAAGGCTATAAAGTGTTTGGTAATCTTTGTTGACTAGTTTAAAACATTGAGCCATAAAGTAGAGCATGGAAAATGTACTTTTCCTTTAAATAAGCAGTGGATGGCAGATTTTTCTGTCTATCCCCCTCTCTGTCTGTAACTCTGATTTTCAAAGTAAATAAATCTTAAGTAATAAAACTGCACATAAAAATAAAATTTACTACACACCAGTTTGAAAAATAAATTAACTTTGTTGTTTCAAGTTTTCTTACAAAAATACTACAAAAATGGCTTGATATCACTTGAATATAAATGAGGATAAATCACAGATGACTAATCTAAACTCCAAAGCAATCACTAAAATAAACTATAGGATTACAGCAAATAAGCAAATAAAGGAGATAAAATGATAATTTGTATAATACTCAGTCCAAAATAAAACAAAAAAGTTATGAGATGATAGAGCCAATATATAAAAATGTGGTAATAATTAAAACCTGAGCATATTAAATATCACATGAGATGCAGTATGATGGTTCAGTGGCTAAATCCCCTCAAAGGAGGTGACGGCATCACATATTGATGCCAGTTTTGTCCCAGTTGCTCCACTCCCTATCGAGCTCCCTGCTTGTGGCCTGGGGAAGCAGTGGAGGACGACACAAGACCTTGGGCCCCTGTACCTGTGTGGGAGACCTGGCTCCTGACCTTTCTGTCTCTCCTCTCTTAAAACCTGATCTGTCTTTCCAATAAAAATAATCTTTTTTAAATATTAAAAAATAAATATAACACAAATGGTAAATGAAAACACTGCCAAACTGGAAAGTAAGGTCATCAATCACAGAGATATTAACAACAAATTGCCAATGCTAAATAAAAAAGGATGCAAACACATTTGATAAAAGTATAAAGATTTGATCTGAATGAACTTGATATAATTGATATTTATCTATTTCATTTTCACAAAAGTGTCATATACATACTCAAAGTACATGCAGGGTATTTTCTAATTTAGAAAATATTCAGGGCCACAAAGCATGTCTCAATAATATTCAAACCATATAAAATATGCATTGTGATTCTGATGTAATTAAATTAGAATACCATGAAGTTCAGCATTTTAATTATTTCAAAATGTACAACCTAGTGGCCATAATTGCATTCATTAAAAAATATATTGACAGTAATTATTTTCACTGTTCAAACAGAAACTTGGTGCTGGTAAAGCAAATATTCATCATTTATCCAAAAACATTACTATCATTTTGGAGACATCAGATTTCTTAGATTTGTTCTACTTTAAAGTCTTGTGAAATGAGGAGTAAGATAACTCTTATATAGTGTCATTAGTATAAGATTTAGGGCATGGGTAGAAATAGTCACAGAACAGTAATGAAAATTCTATTCATGTTTTTATAAAGTTTTTTATTGGTAGATATTTTCACATTCCCAATGTTGAAACAGTTCACTGCAAGTAGATAGAATATGGTATTTATTCAATCATTGTAGAATGGAGGAATTCCTTATAATAATTCTAAGTGTTTCGGGAGCTGTGTTGTCTACTAGATGGAACAACGGGGCCAGAACTGTTGCAGCATTAGGATTGCTTTATTGATCATGGTACCCTTTTGTTTGTTTTTGAAATTTATTTTTTCCATTTAAGAGAGAACAAAGGATTCCAAAGGGAGGTGTGAACAGTGTTGAAAACAGTAGATTTGATAAGGACCTGGTGTTTCTGGCTACTTGTAGGATATGAAAAGAAGGAAGGAAGGCCAAGTGATAAATTGCCCTCAGCCATTAGGTAGTGGAATCTTGGGCTCTGGTACAATGCAGCACACACTCCTCGGAAAATGTAGATAGGAGAGCTGGATACAGAAAGCTGCATCCCCGGAGTTTATTGGCAATAACAAGAAAGCAGTCACTGAGGATCAAAGAGTAATGAGATAGAGGCTAGGATGAAAAGAACTTGTTAGAAAAACATGAACTTTTCCCTTATTTTGGTGAGATCTGACTTCTGAAACAAGGAATACAACAGCCACCTAGTTTGTCGAAATTAGATTGCTCTAAATCTGCATGGTAACACAAAGAATGATATTTTGGTTTTATATTTCCATAAAAGATAGCAGAATCTACTTTTGATACTTCTGCATTGAAAGACATACTTTCTATTTTGAAGAACTAATCCCTGAAAACTGTAATTCCTCAAATGAGTTAATGAAACACAAAAAGGGCAGCTAACTGGAAAAGCCTTTTTTCTGTAATGGATGAATGAGATTGCAATAAAATTATTAGGTCATCTCTACATAACTAATTATATTGGTGATGGGATTAATTCGTTTGATCTACATTGCCATTCAACTTGTTTCATTTAACCTAGTAAGTGAGACTTTCGGGGAAAATCCTATTGTGAATCATTTTTTCACCTTCTGTATTGTCTCTCCCTTTCTGATTTTATTGGGGGAGTTGTGGGCAAGGATGATTATTTTATATTTCTCTTATTATTTGGTAGAAATATCAGCTGAAATTTGTCTTAAAGCTTGTGACACTTAAGTTAATCAGCCAGGATTACAGCTAATTAGTAATCGTTGGGATTTTTTTGGATATTCTGGAAATATATTGAGCTTTTGAGTTTGCTCTGATTTCTTTAATAGTATGTCATTCTGTCAATAGACCTTTAACGTTTAAATTATAGTAATTAATTAAATTATCATTATATAATTATATAATTATTATATTAATTCTTTAAGAATTCTTAAAGAAGAGGTAAATTATGAAAACAAATTTATAGCATTTTCTCATTCCTTTTGTTATCATTTTAATATTTAACATTAATGCTTATAGTAGAAAAGTCTTGCCAAAACACTTACGAAATTAACATGAAGCGTAGGTTTAAGGACAATCAGATCATCTAGCACAAGTTGATGGCGTAATTAATTTGAGTGACAGCCACAATTCTAATACTTTGGAACTAATCATAGGAAACCACACAAATCCTACAAGATGTTAGACTATACCTTCAAGAAAAATAAAACAAATTAAAACAGAAACTTGTCCAGTACATGCACAATAGAGGGAAAAACCAAACAGTGGCATATACACATCATTAAAATTGCCAGTTAGATTCCATGGCCATCTATGACAAATTTGATTTCATGAAAGACCAACTGGAGGCAATTAAAGAGTTTATTTTGGTTTTAAGGTATTATTTTGTTATATTAATTATCTCTATTTCTGTTCATACCTTCAGTTTCAATTTATCCCTACTATTTCATGTTAATTTATTGCCATATTTTCTAGTAAAATAAGTTTCAGAAACTTTCTATGCATTAAAAAGTAGAAAACATACTTATTAAACACCATGAAATAATCATGCACCAAAGCAATGAATTCAAAATAATCTTTCCTTTTTTCAATAAAAGATTAGGTTCAAACATTTTCAAATATCTCAGTATTTCATAACTTTGTCCTTCCGATGTAAACACCATGCCTTTTATACAGACCCTTCCTGCTTGGGTTCTGCCTCTAAATTCATGTTATCTTCTGTTACACAAAGTCATTTTGTGACTAATTTCCAGAGCTCTGAGTCACAGTGTGGCTGTGGCTTATCTGTTCTGTTCTGTTCTTCCACATGGCACGCCTCTTAGCTCTCATTTTTTGCTAGTTATTTTACACAAATGAACTTTTTCTATGAAAAAAAAATAGGTGTCTCCGAGTTTTGTGGGTGAGTATTGCTATATTATGTACTTTCCTTCATTGTAGAAGCAAAGTTTAGTCATTTCAGAACCAGTAAGGACATGCCATTTTGTTATCTGGGTATGTAATCCATTGCTTTTTTTTTTTTATGTCATTGAACATATATAGACTGGATCACAAATATTCTTATTTAAGTATCTTATATTATGTCCTTTTTGGAGACTTAGAATATATCCTAGAGAGATTTTGTAAATGCTGGCATGAAATATGAAGATTAAAAGAATTATAGTATTTTTACTTCATTTTAAAAATCATCAACTAAAGGCAGTGCAGCAAGTTTCTTCACAATGAAGCTGACAGTCTCACTGTATGTTACTAAATGCAATTTTAAGATAAACTGAACCTTAAAGAAATTTCAATTAAGCAGGTATAATTAGTAAAAAAAAAAAATCAACTACAGTGTTAAAATGATAAAAGTCTACATTTCATCAACAACTTGAAAAATCTTCATGGTCTTAAAAGCACACACATGTCCTGCATACACATATGTTTGAGGAGTTCATGCAAAATGCTGAAATCAATTTGGCATTGAAATGTGAGCTTGCATATTCACAGGGAAGGGCTGATTTTCATTTTAGGAAAACAGTGATCCTGCTCTTCTCAGCTTTGCCTGCCTTTCCCTAAAGAGAAAGAACTTACAACTCATTTCCCAAGCACCAGCCAGCAGGTTCCAAGTACTCACAGGAAAATCTCTGAAGAAAGTTCTTGGAAAGATTTTATTCAAAGCGGAGTTGAAGCCGTTTTGTCTTCCTTTTCAGGTGATGAAGAGTACATTTATCTTCTCTACTTCCTCTTTTAAAGAGATCAGGGAGGCGGGGAGTGGAGGAAACTCGAAAGAAATGCGATCTGATCTTATTTGCAGTGAAGGGGAAAGGTAAGAATTTGCCAATGATCCAGCCCCGGTGGCTCTTGTCATTTGGGTCAAAAGGGAGTCTCAGCCCGTGTCAGAGCCCTGGGCAGCCGGGAGTAACTGGGCTTCCTGTGAGGTCACTGCAGCTCTGACTTCACTTTGTCTAATTTCGCCAAACTTTCCCAAGGGCTTTTTTTTTTTTTTTTAAGTAGGGGAAAGAGACAAAGGAAATAGCTTATTCTAGAATTATTTTTAATACCTGCATTTTTTTTACTTTTGGAATTCTTTTTGTAACCAACTCATCAAAAGCCCTTTTCTTCCTTAGTTTTCTTAAAAATTACGTATGTCATAAGATTGTCAATAAATGAATTCATTTTCAGTTGATTTCTTCAAATGATTTCATCTACATCTTCAGTTTATTAGGGTAAAAAAAAGTTGAGGGCTACCTGGAGTGTCTCTTATTAGAGAAAAATACACCGTATTATAAATTTCAGAATGTCAGTCTGTGATCCCCACGTCTATTATTTGCCAGCTTTGCATATTTACCTGTTATTTAAATCCTTTTTGCCTCAGTTTCTTTATCCTTAAATGATATATTCAAATACCCTTGTTTTGGAATAAGTACCAATGTGTCTATAAAAAACATTCAAGCAATCTCCAACGTGGAGCACACCTACATAAATGACGGAGGAGCGGTGGTACTGTGGCTCAATGGGCTAATTCACCAACTGCAAGTGCCGGCATCCCATATTTTCTCCAGTTCATGTTCCAGTTGTGCCACTTTTGACCCAGATCCCTACTTGTGGAGGCAATGGATGACGACTCAGTCCTTGGAACCTTGCGCTGACATGGGAGACCCGGAGGAAGCTCTTGGCTCAGCTTTGGCCCTAGTGGCCCCCCTGGGGAGTGAAACAACACATGAAAGATATTTCCCTGTCTCTCTGCTCTGTAAATCTGCCTTTCCAATAAAAAGAAATAGATCTTGAAAAAAAGGCTGACTACTACTCAGGCTGCTTGTATTACTACTTCCATCATCATCATTATTATATGAACTACATAAATATTTAAAGAGATCACTTAGCCTTACTTTGATGTGGGTCCCTATATTTAAATTCAGCTCAGTGGAACTATGAAGATATCAGACTAAAATCACTTGGAATTTCACAAGATGCTACAATTTACTGAAAACTGAGTCATGTGATTAGAAAACCTACCAGTTTGTTTTCTCTGTCAGGCTGTGTGTCTTCGACTTTTCCTTCTCCTCCCTTTGACATGTATCTGTGAAAGGGATAAACGTTCCTCTTAGTGCTTTGTAATTTCTGTTAAATAATTAGTGAGTGACGCAAAAGTTGTGTAATTTCTCACACCTGGCTGATGCTGTGGGTTCTCCACGTGTGATAATGTCACACATCCAGGAAAAGGGAGTACCACGTGTGTTCAATCCGAATTCAGAGCAGAGACACTTACTTCCTCTTGCCTCCTTCTCTCTCATCCCCTTGCACTTTTCTTTCTCACCCACGTGCTGCATTTCACAACACACTGTGTTGTTCTGCCACCATTGACACTCTTGAATTGCTGAGGAAATACTTGTTCTTGATGCTGCAGGGGACATTGACCAATCTTTTGGCCAACATATCAACTCTGTTAAGTAAAGATAAGCTCAGCCAACCAGATTACTTTCCTTGGAAGTGGGTATTAACAGAAAAAAGTAGTTAGGACATGGCAGAATCTGAACTAAAATATCAAGCCAAGAAAGTCTTGAGGCCTACTGGCTGTGTGCAAGGTTTATGTGAAGACAGGTAGTTGAGAGGGAAAGTTGAGAAGAAGACGAAAAGGTCAATTGTTAACCTCTGAGCTCGAATTAGGGAGAGTGAGGGCGAGAGTAGGAATGAGAAGCAGGTGAGAAGTAGATGATACCTTCCTTCCTCGAGGAGAGGACCGCTGAGGCCTGCTTCCAATTTCCCTAAGTGCTAAGAATCTATGTCCTTGTCATAACCAATTTTGTCCTAAGTTAGTACAGTAATATATTTCTTTTTGTATAAACAAAGATGAAAAGCCACAGCTGTGCTGACAATCTTTGTAGAGATCATCAGTTTTATGGAGTGGCACTTTTCGTCATTTCATTGTCACATATGGGGTATGTGTGTGCTCACGAGACTGTAGGAACTTGATGTGAATGCCTAATGCTGCAACTCACAGAATCTGTTGACCCACCTCTTTCCTCCATTATATCTGTCTGCAGTTCTTTTGGGGTTTACTGCTTAGCTGCCATTTCACATTGCATAAGTCTATGTAATTGGCTTAAAATAAATTCAGTAATGTGTTTAATAGAAATCATTGCATCTTATACAACTCTGTATTTAGTCAACAGCTAAATGCTCCAATTAATCACTTTGCCATAAGTAAAATTTAAAAAATTAAGGATGTATTTTATTTTAAAAATTTTTATTTATTTATTTATTTGAAATTTTTATTTTATTTTTATTGTAAAGCCACAGAGAGGAGGAGAGACAAAGGAAGATGTCTTTTCATTCACTCCCCAAGCAGCAGAAACAGCCAGAGCTGAGCCAATCTGAAGCCAAGAGCCTGGATCCCTGAGCCTCTTCTGGGCCTCCCATGCAGTGGCAAAGTCTGAAGGCTTTGGGCTGTCCGGACCACTGATTTCCTAGACTACAAACAGGGAGCTGGATGGGAAGTGAGGCTGCTGGGATTAGAACCGGCGCCCACCTAGGTTCTCAGAGAGTGCAAGGCGAGTGCTTTAGCTACTAGGCTACTGCTCCAGGTCTATGTATTTTATTTTTATTTGAAAGACAATTACAGAAAGAAGGATGGAGGGAGAAAGTGAGAGAGAGAGAGAGCAAGAGCAGAGAGAGAAAAAGAGAGAGCAAGAGCAAGAGAGAGAGAGCGAGGGAGAGAGAAAGAGATCTGCTGGGTCACTCCCCAAATGGATACAATAGCTGGAGCCGAACAAGTCTGAAGTCAGGAGCCTGCAGCTTCCTATGGGTCTCCCACGTGGGTGCAGGAACATGTGCCATTCCCACTTCTTTCCCAGTCTATGAGCAGGGAGCCTGACTGGAAGTGGAGCAGCTGAAACAGGAACCAGGGCCCGTATGGAATGCTGGCACTGCAGTGAGAAGCTCAGCCTGTTACACCGCAGCAGTGGTCCCTATATTGTTATTTTCTTTCTGAATCATAGAATTTGAAAAATGTTCTAAGCTATTAATATGAACTTTTATTTATTGATCAACATATAAATATAGGAATTGACATTGTGGCACTAGGTGAAGCTCCTGCTTGCAGTACCAGCATCAGAGAATGAAGTCCTTGCTCCCTACCATGGCAGCTGGGAATTCAGTAGATGGTGGTCCAAGTATTTTGGCCATTGTTTTCTCTCTCTCTCTGTGCCTTTCATATAAATAAATGTTTTATCAAATATATAAAATAGTTTTTATTTTTACTTGTCCCATATATCAGGAGATTTTCCTTAATTTTATACATTAAAATCCTTGCTTCCTACATGTCAACAGGTTTAGGAAATTATGATTAAAACAGAATTTGGAAAAAGTTGGCTCTTTCTCATTATCAGTAAGAACACTGAAATTACAGAGAATGTTAATATTTCTAATGAGACACAAATTTTGAAAAATATAACAAAATTAGTGGGCCTCAGGACAGGGCGTCTCATGCTTGGATCCCACATGCCAGCCACCATGTGCACGTGGTGAGCTGTACCCGGGTGGCCAGTGCGCCATTTTGCACCAGGCTCCGCCTGCTGGCCACCCGGACGGGAAGCTCTGGGGTTTTGTTTCTTTGAATCGCTGCTTAGGTAGCTCCAGGCTGAACCCACTGTGCTTCTGGGATGTGAGTCAATCCTAAAGATTCCCAATGACAGTAACTCTTCCTTTGAAGTACTTGTAATCACTTAACAATGCTGAGCACCGAACACCAGTCCATGCAAAAGCTAAGGCTCGGGGCTTGTCCAGCAAGATGTCCTATTACCTGACATGATGATGGATCAGCAGATGGGTTACATTTGGCAGGGCCATGACATTATCTAGCACTCAAGAACCATATCCGGGGGTAGATTCTGTGGGGGTGTGTGGGCCACATCCTGTGGAAATTCTACCCCCACTGATTAGCTCAAGAGTTGGGGTGGTGATGGACTAAGCTAGGTGTGACCAAAGAGCCTGCCATCAATCACAGGTAAAGGAACCCCCAATAGTCTGGACTGGTCAGGGCAGCAGCACCCGAATGTGCATCCTGAATAGGGTGTGGGGTGGGCCGGGCTGCAACGTTCACCAGCTCATACATGGCCAAATGGAAGGCCAGACTGCACCGGGCACTGGCCTAAAACCCAATGGCATGTATGAGAACTGGGTCGGGGAGTGCATCAAGTGGAGAAACTTGGGAAACTCCCCTGGCGAGTCATAGCTCCCGCTGGTGAACATGTGGTCCAGACCTGGGGGTCAGACAAGCTGGGCAAAGTAGCTCCAAAGGCTGGCTAATGTGTGAATTGGTAATGGAACAGGATGTACCGGTAAGGACTGAGCAAACCTTAGCCCACTAGCAAAACTAATAACCAGGATGGCGCACAGGTCGTGCTGAGCTAGGCTTTTGTACCTACTGGTCTGCGTAACTCAAAGATGCTAAGCCACAGTGTCTAAGGCAGAGGCTGGGACAGGTGAGAGGCTGAGCTAAGCTGAGTCAGAGCAACCACTGGCATGCATGTGATCTATGGCTAGGAACAGGCCTGGTTGGGGAGCAAAGGGAACACCCTAACTGGGTTGAGGTTCTCACCAAATGGGTGCGTGGGCTGGAATGGGGGCTGGGTCCTGATCAGGAAATTGTTGTAGTCTCCCTTGGCACAAGTGTGGACGAGGACTGGATGCATCAGGCCGGGCCAGACCCCAACACAGTCTGGTGTCCTGGAGGATCAGGGTAGATGTGGAATGAACTAGGCTAGATCTCAACCCCTACTGAGCCATATGTGAGCCATATGTGGGTATGGACGAGCCTTGGCTGGGCCGAAACATCCAACAGCAAGAACTAGAATGGGTTGAAGGCCATTCAATAAAAGCAATTGTTCCTGCTAGGATAGGAGGTGGACTGAGTAGGTCTGGCTCATGGACCCCCTGGTAGGCGCAAAATCTGGCATTGGGAAAGGTTCTGATGGAGGAGCCTGGGCAAATCCTCTGGCAGGACACAGTCCCTTCAGGTAAGCACAAGAAGCATGGAAGGAAACAGCCCAGAATAGGTCATGGAAAGTTTCCCACTGGCATACATTTGGCATGGGTCGAGAGCAGACCAGGCTGAATCAGTTCACGTCATCCATTGACAAATCTGAGTACCAGAACAGAGTGTGGGTCAAGCCAGGTTCAGTCACGACGAAAACCAGTGCACAATAGGGAATGCCAAGGTGAGGTTGCCTGTACCGGATGTGACCGCAGCACCCAACCAGTAAGCGTGAAAACCAGGAAGGGAGGGGGCTGAGCCTGCAGGGGAAATATGGAGTGGTCCCCTTGCCAGACAGCTACTCCCATTGGAGAGTGTGTACTGGGATGGGGGCAGACCAGACTAAGCAGGGCTGCAACATCTGTATGCCTCATGTGGACTAGATTAGGGAAAAGCCAGACTGGGCTGATTATTCCTGCTGGTGCAATCTACAATTGGAATGGGTGAGGGTTGTTTGGGCTTAGCCAAGCATCAGCTGGCAGAAGCTAGCAGTGGGGGCTAATTCTGTCAAGTTAAACCACAGAACCACCTGGAGAGTGCATAATCCAGGAGTGAGAGAGACCTGGGAGGGAAATAGTGGGCTTCTCCCTCTTGGGTTACCACTCCCACAGAAGGGCATGAAAACTAGGACAGCAGCTGGGGTGGCTAGACAGAGAGGCACTCAACAACATCCCTGAGGGCTGCATAGTGGAGCTGGTTAGATGGATCTTAGCTTCAATACCCATCGACATGTACAATAGCCAAATGGGATGTGGGACAGACTGGACTAGCCTGCTGCTACACATACTGGCAAACCAGGGTAGGGGATGGGCCTGGTGGGGGTTATTGTGAATCGCTCTGACTAGGCTGTAGCTCCCATTGGTTTATGAGAGGGTTGAGTTTGTGCTGGGCTGAACCAGGCTGGACTGCAACACCCATTGTTTCCAGTGGAAGTCAGGGCTGAAAACAGAATCAACCCAGCAATTGCAACCACCAGTTGATTGGGGCAATGGATTGTGCCGGGCCCTGTGCTTGCTAGTACATACAAGAATCTGGTTTGGGAATACCTGAAAGTTTCTTTGGAGATCTCCCCAATTGAAATGCTGGACTCAGAAAAGAAAAGAAAAGACAGAAGGCAGAACAAGTCAATCAACCACCTCAGCTGTCTGTTGGCAGCGAAATACTGGGTAAACAGAGACTCTATGATGGACTATGTCAGTCAGTGGATTCTTCAAAGACCTCATCGTGTTTGGAGTGGCGAGATTGGCAGCGATTCACAACTGGTGAACTATCAAAACCACTTGAGCAAATATCTCAGAGCATGCCCCACGTGCAGGACTTGGGGTGGATGGGGAACTGGGTGGGGCTTCTCCCTGAATGTCTCCCTTAACCTCAGGAAGGAAACAATATGGAAATAATAGTCTTACCCACTTTCCTATAACCCTTGAACCTTTTTTCCCTAATTAACTATGTAAAGATTGTCAAAAATATAATAAAAAAATAACAAAATCAAAGTTTATCATGTTGAACACCCTAAGCATTTCTTTCTAAAGTCTGAAGATTGGATATTTCATTACTTCATATTTTAACCAACTACTTTTTAAAAATTTGTGTTTTTCTTAAAGGTAGAGTAACAGAGAGATAAATGTGAGGTTAAGGATAGATAGATAGATGGATAGATATCTCCTACCTGCTTAGTCAGTCCCCAAGTGACTGTGAAGACCAGGGCTGGACCAAGCCAATACCATTAACCAGCATTTTCCTTTGCATCTCCCCTACGGAAGGCAGGAGTACAAGCACTTGGGCCATGTTTTGGTGATTTTCTCAGGCCATTTGCAAGGAGATAGATCAGAACTGGAGCAGCCAGGACATAAACTGCTGACATCATTGGTTGCAGCTTAATCCATTATGCCGCAACATCAGCCCCATAGGCCAACTACCTTTCACACATAGAATGACACCTAAGGCATTTCACTGAATTTAGAGTATGCTTTGTGCTTCAGTCTCTCTTAGTTTTTATCCTCATATCCAGATCCTAACTAAATATATATCCTTTGTGGTTTACTTTTTGACAATGACATTTTAAAAATCTCTGCAGTTTCTGTTTTTGCTGACGTGGAAAATGCAATCTCTTCTAACAGTTGCTTTGTTGGCCAAATATTATTTTAAATTTGGGCACATTTGGTTAAATCTGGGCATTTGTGTCTCTATTGCTCTTAATCCTTTCCTTTTTTTCTAGAGCACCTGACCTTTTACCAGTATTTGGGGAAGACCTCTAATCCATTCAGTAGCTACTGTTTTGCCTCTGCTTAGAGAAAAAACATGCAGCATCTTTTACAGTTTTACCAAGATTTGGAAATAAAATTGCATTCTCATTTCAAATCATTGCTCTTTCAGTTTAAAGCCTCAGCTCGAGGGCCAGACACGGTGGCCTAGTAGTTAAATCTTCGCCTTGCAGCTGTCAGGATTCCTGGCACTGGTTCACGTCCCAGCAGCTCCATTTCCCTTCCAGCTATCTGCTTGTAGCAGTAAAAGATGGCCCGAAGTCAAGGGACCATGCACCCATGTGGGAGACCCAGAGGAGACTCCTGACTCCTGGCTTCAGATCAGCTCCACTCCAGTCATTGCGGCCACTTGGTGAGTGAACCAATGGTGGAAGATCTTTGTGTATCTCGTCTCTTAAATCTTGCTTCCCAATAAAAAAAATAAAGAAATTTGAAAAAAGAAATGCTTGAGCTTGTAAAGATATAATGGCTGTTGTTTCTGGAAGTCACACAAAGACTGTGTTCCCTGTTCTTGCCTTTAGCTCCCTGGGTAAAGGGCAAGAAGAAAAAGAAATAAAAAAACTTACCAGGTAAGTGTAAATCAAACATTTACTTGTAATAATCCAGTCAGTTCACTCTTAATTTTTTTTTTTTTGAGTCAACTAAGTTCTCAGTTGTCTTAATTTCCAAGTGAAGGTTTACCAAAATAAATCTTCTTTCAGGGAGAAGAAACATACGTGTATTCTCTCCATTTCCTGTGATGTAATGACACGATTTGTTCAAATGCATTTGCTGCTCTCCCCTCTGGGTCTCTCTGACAAACAGCAAGAAAAGGACAGTCCTCTTTCTGCTAACATCAGGGTTTGCTGCTCTACTGGCTTTGGTACCTACAACAAGGTGAACAAGCATATATGTAAGTGGCAAGTGACAGCTGAGTAAAATTTGTATGAGCCTTGCCCCAAGTTTACCGTTTTTACCCTAAAACGTCCATTTTCTCTCCCAGATGATTTTTATGCCTGGGATAAAGTCAATTCCTTGAAAATAATCACAGTAAACAGGAAATAGAACAGAATAGAAGAGGCCTTTGAAGGTGATTAACAGCAAATACTTTATTGCTGAAAGCTTTGTAGATTTCAGATTGTAGATATTTTTAGGTTTGATGCCAAGCATAACATAGAAATGAACAATATCCCTCTTACTTCATTTACTCGTTCTTTGTTCTCTTGGTGTTATCTTGATCATGCCCTTATTAAGATGTTAGGAAACTCTTGAAAACAGGACCAGATTGGACCACTGTGCCACATCTTCTGCAACTTGTTTTCTTTCTTTGTTTTATACACTGCATTGCAGGATATGTAGTAATTTGAGAGAAATGCTTTCTGGAAATGACTTTATAGTAAGCAGCAGACATAATTAAACAACAATCAGTACGAAGTATATTGCAGATTTGAGTAAATTATTTTAAGCAATATACTAATAATGAAAGTATTTCCAGAAGTTTTATGGTTATATGAAGTTGATTTCATCTGTAGGAAAATTCCATCTTTTTAAATTATATTGATTTTTCACATAAGCACCAAAATACGATGCAAAATTTAATACTGATATCATTTTTATATATAGTTTGTATTGTTCATCAACAAGATATCCCTTGCTAATTTTAAAATTAGAGTGTTCCCTAAGCAGTGGTTACAATTTATGGGACCACAGGCTTTGGTCATGGTTAGAAAAGATTTTCCAAGAAGAGTTAATCACAAATTGCATACTTAAAAGATAAGCATCTTGTGTAAGCAGTCCTTCATTAGACAAAACATGTTGACTAGCAAAACAAAGAAATTAGCTCTTTATCTGCCTTTGTCTTGCCATTGCATTTCACAATATTATGTTGTTGCATACACTTTTAGAAATGCTTTGTCTTACACAAAGGAAAAATAAGACAAGTTTATTTTTTTTTCTGACTTCCTAGAATCATATAGGCTATTAAATAAGATGGTGACATTACATAAGAAGTTCATTTTTATTCATGTGGTTTCCCGTCCCCTTCATTTTATTTAGGTTTTTCTGATTCATGATAGGTACATATGTGTCACTAAAGTGTGAATCAAGTGGTACCCTATAAATCTACTTGGTTTTTATTACTGGACAATGAGAGTTCAGTCTGTATCTACTTTATGTGTAAGTTACATGTCTGTAGGAGTACAATCTAGGTCACCATCATTGATTTAAATTGACTAGCATAAAAACAGTCATGTTCCCATGTAACTTTACAATCTTTTGTTCCTATCTTTGGGCAAAGTCTGAAAAATTCAAAACATTCATAGAAAGTGGAACTTAAAAGATTTTTTTGGTCAAAGACAATCTGAAACATATGCATGTAAGTTCACTGTAATACATTTTCTTCATGAAGTTTTTGAAGACCCTTTATGTTAGGAGAGCAATTGTCAAAGCAATGTGTCCAGAGAGGTGAGACAAAACTACACCATTTAACGCATATTTGACACTTTAACTATGCTTGTCACAAAAAGGTAGAACAAGCTGGGATATTCGAGGAAGAAGACGCTTAAGAAATTGGTAGAACATGCATGTGACATAATGTTTATAAACACTGTTTTGTGGAAAAGAGGGTAAGTATGATCCATTTTGTTCCTGATAGAGATTTAAATGGATGAAAATATTTGAGACACACAGGTTTTTAGTTTAAAATTAGGGTACTGTCCCTACTCACTGCAGTTTGCAAAAATGGGTCAAACTGCTGGAAGATCTGAATGTAAGTAATGATTGGGAGAGATGCACTGGGACTCTGTTCAGAAGACATCCTGACCCTGGGGCGCAGAAGCAGGCTGGGAGCAGTAGGGAATGACATATGCCATTCAAAATCCTGCCAGGCCTCTTATCGCTGCCTCTAAAAGTTATTACTGCAAGCGTCATGTAAAGCTGTGTAAAAGTTATCATTTAAACCACAAATGTGACAAAATAATTTTTGTTGAAGCTTTACTGTCAGACAAGTAATGCTTTATGTTTTTTTAAATAGACATTCAACCTTTACTACCTCATAGGTAAATGACTAAGTAACTTGGATAATTTACACAAGTTATAAGCAGTAGAGTGGGATTTGATTTTAAATAGTGAAGATGCTGAAGGTACAATTGAAGTTTTTGAGACATACATATTTTAAGGACCATCAATTCTGTCTGTAATTTTCTAAAAAAAAAAAAATTATCACTCTGCATTTATTTTATTAATATGCCTGAACAAAGTCAAAGTTAAACTCAATCTTAAAATAAAAAATAAGTCCACTGCAATTTAACTGCTTTTAGAAATAAACATAAAACAATACTATATATATATGTAAAGAGGAATCATTTATGTTAGTTTATTATTCTGGAAATGATGGAGAAGGAATAGAACTGGAAAGGCTTATAAAAATACTGCATTTGTCCATTTTGTGTGTAATATATATATATATAATCTTTCATATAAAACACTACACTGTATTTTATGTAAGTACTACTTAGGAAAATTAAATTATTTTATGCGAAATATGTATCGTGCTTAATGAAAAGGTTAATATTTATTAATTGTGGATGCTCATGACTCAGATTTTTGGAGTTTGAAGGTTCTATACAATGTTCTCAAAAAAGCACATGTCTTGAAAAGCTATGTATGGTTTCAAAATGCTGTGCAACAAAACAAACTTATCTTTTAAAGTTTTTATTTATTCATTTATTTGTGAGGCAGAGTTAGAAAGAGATGGGAAGTCAGAAGTACTACCCATCTGATGGCTCTCTTCCCAGGTGCACTCAGAGACTGGGGCTGGGCTGGGCAGAAGCCAGGGACTGCATATTCAAACTGAACCCTGCCACAGGGTAGCGGTATGACCAGCAAATACCATTGCCTCCCAGGGCCTTCAGTAGCAACTGAATGGAGCTGGGGATTGAACTCCAAGGTGGGACGAGGGTATTTTGGTCGGCACCTTAATATTCAGGCCAAACACCCGCACTTACCTTTTAATTCCATTTTCTTATTAACTTTTGAAATACAGTTGCATCAATCTTTGTACTTTTTCCTGATGGTAAATATTTAAATTAAAAAGAACTTAGATTACATAATAACAACAGATTAAAAAAAGAGAATAGTTTCATTCTTCACTCTCTCCAAATATTTTCATTAAAATTCCAATATTTCTAAATGTAAAGAAGATAACATCAAGGTGATGTTTCATACACACACAAAAGAAAGTGTTTGGTGTGTTATTTTTTAACTTATCTGGACAACATAAAAAAACAGCTATTTTTTTAATACAATGACATTGTTCTCTTTTATAATGAAGTTTCCCAAGTCAATGTGCATGATAGTTGACAAATGTCTGTCCTGTGTGGACAAGCAGAAGCAGACACAAACTGCTAATGTAATGACCAAGTGGGGCTCTAACACTCCCTTTGTAAATGGACTAAATCTCCTCTCCAGTTGCCTTTCCCACGCAGAGGCTGATCTTTCGGCAAGACGTGTAAATTTTAACACACAGCTTTCTCTGCTTGCTTGTGGCAGAGGTGCATGCCAACACGTGTCTTCAGATTTCCGCTCTCACAGGAAGCTTCAAGTCTGTTTATTCCTCTTAAAGAAAGCAAATAAACATTGTGGTGGAGTTAAAGTAAAACTGCAGAAGTAAATGGGGGAAAATGACAGCTCTTGCCTTATGGCATCTGGCGTTCCCTTTTATGGCTTGCAGCATCAGGTTCATTCTTGGAACAGATATTTTGTGGTACAGGAGAAGCGCACAAGAATAATTTAGCATTTCCCCTTTTTTCATGTGCTTTCCCCCCCCTTTTGTGTAGCATCGGTGTGGGTTAAAGGAGTCGAACAGACAAAAATCTCTTGTATTTTTCCTCTCTCCCCAACTCTGTGGAAACAAGCTTCCTAGTAGACTTCGGTAAGTTATGGAGAATGTATTCAACCTTTTGCTCAATCTCTCTGCTCAAGCATGTGCTCTGAAAGTTCAGGTTTTATCTAATACAGATCAAATTGCCATTATTTGTCAAACATTTTAAAAAATTTTAACTAAATTAACTCATTTATTTTCATAACTGTTCTTTCAGACCGCATATAGCTATTAAATACAGTTCTAGAATCCCCATGCCAAAATATTTTACTGTATGTTTTGGTAGTAAGAGAAGTAAAAAATGCTAAGAATAAATTCATAGCTCTGTTCCTAAAAATTAGTCATGGTGGTGCTCATCAGAATGTCAGTCTCCACGCTCCTTATTTAAGCTGTCTGTGGAGAGGTCCCCTTCACAGGAGGTGAGGCTTCAGGGAATGGTGGAAATGAATCATCTTCACGTTTTCGGTTTCCATATCTCTCAGTGCCTTTCTCACTTCTGCATCGGGATATGAAGCTCACAGTTGATGCTTTCATGATCTTGTGCCTTATTCTTCCATCTTTTAGACGCTAATTCTTTTACTTCAATTTATTTTGTTTAAACTCGTTTTAGTCTTCGTTTTTCTGGACCTCTTAATTATTTTATAAAGATTTGCTTCTTTTTAAAATTTTATTTGAGAGATAGAAAAACAGAAGGAAATAGCAAAGATGCAAAAGTGAGTGAGAGGGCCCAGTGCAATCGCCTAGCAGCAAAAGTCCTCACCTTGACTGTGCTGGGATACCATATGGATGCTAGTTCTAATACCTGCAACTCCACTTCCCATCCAGCTCCCTGCTTGTGGCCTGGGAAAGCAGACAAGATGGCCTAAAGCCTTGGGACCCTGCACCCAAGTGGGAGACCCTGAAGAAGCTCCTGGCTTCTGGCTGCAGATGGGTGCAGCTCCGGCTTTTGTGGCCACTTGGAGAGTGAATCAGCAGACAGGAGATCTTCCTCTCTGCCTCTCCTCCTCTCTGCATATTTGGCTTTCAAATAAAAAAAAAAATTTAAAAATAAACCTTAAAAAAAAAAAGAGTGAGTGAGAGACAGAGATATCTTCCATCTGATAATACATTCAGGGATAGGACATTCCTGGTGCATTCCTGAAGTGCCTGCAGGAAAGGTGATAGGTCAGGTTGAAGCAAGAGCCAAGTCGCTGGTCATGAATTCATTTCTTGCTATAAAATGCATTAGTAGCAAGCTGGAATGAGCAGCAAAGACAGGACATGAGCCCAGACACTGAGATGTGACATGGACATGAGCTAAGCAGTGTCCAGCCTTTGTGTCAACCCCCCCCCCCCATTTGTAGCACTCATTCTTAACAACTTATTCCACTAAAAACCATTTATATTATCTGCAGTGTTCTTATTGCTTTTATTATTTTCAAGCTTGTTTATGAAAGTAGCAAAGTATGCAAAAAGACCAGGAAATTTGCATCTTTATTTCCTTCTAGTTGATATAAGAGCAAGCATACTATCCCAAAAGAATAGGCTGTCTTTCCTTTGGCTCAGTGGTTCTCTCTGATTCTTCCATTACCGGATTGAGTAATTTGGTGGGTTATTAAACAAAAATTACTTTCTACCCAAAGCTTACCTTTTTTGGCAAGACAGACACTGAGAAATCACATGAAAAGTCTAACTGTTCACACCAGAAACTATTTTATTATTAAAAACCTGAAAATTACACATGAGGATAGATTAAGTTTTCTTATAATTTCCATTAATAGCATACACTTTTATTGATACAGCTCTTTATGGGTTGTATTTAGAAATAATTCCATTGACTAGGAATACTAAGGAAAATTTGTCTTCAGAGAGACTTGCCCTTGCATCCCTGTTCTTGTTGTCTTAGATCTTAAGCAACAGATTAATGGATGGATGAATACCTAGCTCAGATAGCCTGACTGATTAGATAACATGACCCTGCCGAGGAGTTCAGAGAACAGGGAACTAGCCATCCAAACCTCATTCTTTCTTGATGATAGCTTCAGTGCTTTACAAGAGGATCAGCTGAGCTGAGTGAGAGCCAGTTTGTGGATTCCTTGTACATTTGGGGAAGTTAAAAACAGGCAACAGCGTCACTTCCTCCACTCTATTGACCTCCATTTTATGTAAATGAAGACAAGACAGTGTTATACCTGACTTGTATGCAGACATGTTACGATGTTTCTGAATTGTATTTCAATCTAAAAATGATGCTCATGAACGTATATTTCAAATGGTCTTAAATGTGCTTTATCTTTCTATTTACCCTCGTCATTTAAATTTCAGGTGTATTTTATAAAATACATAAAATTGGATAATAATTTTTCGTGAAAAGCGTTCCTCTTGTTCGTTAGGAAATGCAACGTGCGTGCTTGTCTTTTCTCGTCTTTTCTAGGGGAACAGGAAGAGCTCACAATGGCCAGGGCTGTTTGGAATTCTGAAGAAAGGTGAGCCACGAGGAGTGATGGTGTTCCGATGCCTCCCCTGTCTCAGGAGACTAACAACCCACAGACGCAGAATGGTTGGCTGAGTTGGCAGGAATAATAACAGCCCAACTATTGAGTTATTATTTTTAGACATGTAGTCATTTCAGTAATTTTGTAACTTAATTATGTAGACCATTATAAAAGTCTTAAAATGTGCAAAAATATACATACTAGCATAACATATGAGCATCTTCAAAGGTACATGGAAAATGCAGACTGTGAAAAAAACTATGCGAAGATTCTTTTAAAAAAATTATTTCATATCGAGTACTAACTAATGAGCCCAGCTCTTATTCACTGAGTGAGGATTATATCCATCTGAATTTAGATCATCTCACCTTTTTAACACATGCCTTTTAAAAACTATTTATAAATAACTTATTCCTTTGCTCATTTTTCCAATTTAGGGTATGCATTTCTTATTGATCTACGTGTTCTCATTTAGTGTCATATTCTTATGTTTTGAGATACTTTAAAATAAAATGAATGATAAGCTAATATTTGTTTTTATTTATGCAAAAATGGTTCCAAATTCCTTATATCTGGTTCAAGTAAATAAAATAGATAATTTAATTTAAGAGAGATGTATGCATTATGTATAATACAAATACATACTTTAAAGATGAAATGTAAAATTTATTCTTATTAGACTCAATAATAACAAAGAAATCTATATAAATTATGACTTTTATTAAATAATAAAACATTAGTGACCATCTATAATATGCTTAGGATACTGTTACAGCATTTACTAATAGTGATTTTTTTTTTAAGATTTATTTTGATTGGAAAAGGAGATACACAGAGAAAAGGAGAGACAGAGAGAATCTTCCACCAGCTGGTTCACTCTCCAAGTAGCTGCAAACGCTGGAGCTGAGTTGATTTGAAACCAGGAGCCAGGAGTTTCTTCCAGGTCTCCAAAACCTTTGAGCCATTCTTACTGCTTTCTCAGGCCATAAGCAGGGAGCTGGGTGGGAAATTGAGCAGCTGGGGCATGCACTGGTGCCCCCATGTAGGATCCAGGCACTTGAAGGGGGAGGATTACCAGGTTGAGCCATTGTGCCACGCCCCTCTAGTGTTGATTTTAACCTAAAATGTTTAAATAAAAGAATTAAAGATTTTTCGGTTACAGTGAGTAGCCAGTCATAGGTGAAATGACCCCTTGTCGCTCACAGGTACACAAACGCCCACAATGTAAGAGACCAGAAGGCAGAGAACAGACATTCTGATTTCCACTGACAAGGACTTTTCATCATTCTGAAAATTTTTTAAAAGATTTATTGACTTTTTTTATTGGAAAGTCAGATTTACAGAGAGAAGGAGATACAGGGAAAAAGATCTGTCTGCTGTTTCATGCCCCAAGAGCTGAGCAGATCTGAAGTCAGGAGCTGAGCTTCTTCTGGGTCTCCCACATGGGTGCAGGGTCTCAGGGCTTTGGCCTTTCCCAGGCCACAAGCAGGGAACTGGAGCAGCTGGGGTATGAACTGGTGCTGATATGGGATCCTGGTGTGTTCAAAGTGAGGACTTTGGCCACTAGGCTATGACACTGGGCCCATTATGAAATAATTTTTGTATTCTTTTTTGTGTGCTTTTCTCTTAACTCAAAGGGTTGAAGTTATTCAAGAAAGACATTTGATTGCTCAAAGTCTTTCCATGAGAGAAACAGCAATAAACATTACTTTGAATGCTGTACTTAAATGTCTGTAGAACTGATTCATTCTTGTGGCTAGAGAACATGGTTAATTACTGCCCTCTGTTGACAACATGTTATATCAACCTTAATTTATACTTTAAGAATGTTTAGGATAAGAATTACAAGAAACCTACTCTATGAAGATGAGAAGATGAACTGAAAGCAATGAAGTGCCTTATCCGAACATCACAGTTGGTCGATGACAGGGGCAGGGCGGGACTCTGGATATTTGCATACAACAGAAAAAATGGATCATAAATATCTTTCACTGTTCACCTGTTCTCAGAAGTAGAAACTATGGACTATCATTGTTGTCTTGTTGATTTAATTATTTAATTTTAAAAATTAACTCCTATTGATATAAACAGAATAGATTTTTTTATATAGTTTACAGCTGTAGTTTATGATAAAAAAAATAAAGGGCTGGACTGAGCCGTTGCCTGAGACCGTATCCCATGTGAGAGCCAGCTGGATGTTTGGCTGTCCCAATTCTGATCCAAATCTCTGCTAATGCGCTTAGAAAAGCAGCAGAAGATGACTCAAGTGCTTGGCCCTCTGCACCCCGATGGGACATATCAAAGAAGCTCTGGCTTAGGCTCAGCCCAGCTCTTGGGGGCCAAAAGCAGCAGAAGGAAAATCTGTGCCTCTGTCTCTGCCTCTCTGTTTCTGTAACTTTGCCTTCCTAATAAGTAACATCTATCTTAAAATCATTAGTAAAAGAATACTTCTCCCCTTTCTGCTCTCCTCTTTCAATTCATATTTGCATGTCTTTCTTTTTTTAAAAATTAAAATGCAATTTTCCAGTATTTTAAAAATATGAAATACTTTTCTTAGAGTTTATTCCAAGTCACCGCACTCAGATGTGCTTATTTTTTAATGTTGCTGTCTTATCATGACACTTTTTAGGATTATGGGAAATTAGAATGCCTTTATTTGTGTTTGCTTGAAATTTCCACATTATCACTTACAAGTTGTGTGTTTCTTTTAGGACTATTACAGATGTGAGGTTGTCTATCTTTATTTTTACTTTATTCCACTGAGGAGGGGGATGCTTGATTTTGGCTTTTCTGCATTGATGAATCCTCATTTCTCTAAATAAGTTTGATTGTATATTAATTTAAAGACAGAGGAACAGAGAGAGGGCATGAGAAAAATCTTCCATCCACTGGGTCACTCCTCAATGGCCACAGTGTACTGCTGCGGGGCCTAGGTTGGTAACCTGGTAACTACGTTGATAGATCCAGCTGCGTCTCCCACTAGGATGGTTATCGCCCTAATACTTGGGCTTTTATCTGCTGTCTTCCCAGATACATCCGCAGGGAGCTGATCAGAAGCAGATGGTCAGGACTCAAACAAGCACTAGGACAGGGTGCTAGCCTGACAGTGGTAGCTAAACCCATCGTCAGCCCTCTGAATGTTCAATGTGAAGACTTGATTAAGGTGCTGTCTGCTTGTGTTTCCATTAAAAATTACATCATTTTCCTATTTCTTTATGGAATATGATTTTAAATGGCAGAAATAATTAGCCAAGATTTAAAAAATTCTAAAATAATTACTTTGTCAAATATTTTTTCCCAAATTAAAAATGATGATGTTGATGATAATAGTAACATAGGCTAGCTGTGTGGTATTGTGCTTTAAGCTTCTGTTTGCAGTGCCTTCACAAGTCCAAGCTGCTCAACTTCCAATCCAGCTCCATGCTAAGAAGGCTGAAAAAGAAATGGAGGATGACCTAAGTCGTTGGGCTCCTGTACTCACCTGGGAAACCCAGACAAATCTCCAGGTTCCTGACTGAGGTCTGACACAGCACTGGCCACTGAGGTCACTTCAGACTAACCAGTGGATGGAAGATTTCTTCCTCTGTCTCTCCTTGTCTTACTCTGTAACTCTGCCTTTCAAATGCATAAATAAAAGTTCAAAAAAAAAAAAAAAGGAATAATAAATCTGGTTTCAGTGCCATGGGTTGGTAAGGCTCCACCTACAACACCGATGTCCCAGAAGGACACCAGTTCATGTCCCAGCTGTTCACTTCTGATCTAACTCCCTGTTTATGGCCTGGGAAAACAACAAAGTCCTTGTGCCCCTGCACACATGGGATATCTGGAGAAAGTTCCTGGCTGCTGGCTTCACAGAGCTGAGCTCCTGCCATTGCGACCATTTGGGTACTGAACCAGCAGATGGAGGATCTCTCTGTTTTTCCTTCTCTCTGTAACTCTGCCTTTCAAATAAAAATGAAATAAAGCTTAAAAAAAGTAACATATCTAAGAAGAGTATGTATTATTATCCTCAATGGGATGAAGGAACTAATTTTATTCCAATTTTTCTTGCAACAGGAAGTATTTGCAATAGTTGCTACTAGAGAATAAGCACCATCTTTCTCTATTACAAATTCATGCAACTTTGCATTTTATTACTATGTGGGCACATAGAGGAATAATGGACACCTGAACTTCTGATAGTTTTTCTTAAAAACATTTTCTAAAACTCAGATTTTTTAAAATTATATTAAAATTTTAGGATGATTCTTTCTTTAAAATGTTTATATTGATTAAAATGTGTACTTTTTGAATTTTCACAAATATTACAGAATATTATTAAAAACTTCTTGAACATATATATAAAGCTGTAAAATGGTTTGATTTAAATCATTTATATTTTTGATAAAAACATTTCAAGTTATATACAGTTGAAAAAAGGGTAGAAAATGTAACATTCTTAAGCATAATGTTACTATCATGTTAAAATGAAGACAAGAGAGATGAATGCTATGAAATAAATATGTAAGTACTTATGATGAATGTGTGTATTTATTTTATTATTCATCCAGGTTTCACAGACCAGTTAACTGAACATCGGAATGTGCAACAAAAATTCAATGGCACTGCCTTGCTTGTTAGTCAACTATCAGGCATACAAAAATTTAGCTTTCAGCATATTCTTCAATTTTATTCTTATGAAGTTATTCCAAGAAGGATGTAAGTATTAATATACTATTTGCTAGTTTTATTCATAGCATTTACTTATATTTATTTATAGCATTTATTTATTTATTTGTAGCACTTATTTATTTATAGCATTTTCATTTACAATGAAATCACTTGCTGAATCAAATATTCTCTACCTGCTTGTTGATCATCTGCTTCGTGATACTATCAGGAATATTGCAGTAAACCAAACACTCTTATTGTCTTGGAACATTTTTTAGTTTCTTTCTTTCTTGAAATCAAAAGAGTCTGAGGATATATACTATATAGAATGTAACAGCTTTAAATCACATAATAATAAACAGAAACCGTCTCTACAACAAATTTTGCGCTAACATGTAATCTTAGTAGTGTGTAATTGTAAAACAGATGGTTCTACCGGAAGTGAAGAGAACACCTGGCCACGAGGAAAATGCTTAGAGAACAAATCAGAGCAGACTAACTGTATGAAGATGTCATTGTACTCAACAAGGTCCGTGGTATCTACTAAGTAGAGTATATAATGGAAAGAAAGAACAAATTTGGACTGAGTTATTTTGGGGAAGAGGTTAGTGGTATATTAGAAAGAGTAAACAAAATATGTTGATTAATGCATATCATAACTGGTAACAAACAATCACAAGCTTATTTCTCTGTGTACTGATGGAAATGTATTAACAAACAGCCGCTGTCCTTTTTACAGGGTCAGAAAATGAAGTTAACGAGAAGTACTGCATAGCAAATTTATTTCCATTTACAGGAAAATCGATTCAGCAAAGAACATTTTCATGGTATGATTTATTTTTTTGTGAGTTCCGTTAGTATTATATCAGAAATAGAAGTTAATGGCACATTAGTTAGCTAAGAAAGAGAAGTACCTGCTAACACACAGTGGGACTGGGAACAATGTCATATTTATTCTGTGGCAACTGTCATTTTTCTTTGTTTAGATTGCACGTCAGAATCCAGGTGACATTCATCAAAGCAGAAAGTCTTTGCAATGGATGCAGTAAGACAGTATTCAGTCTTAATTTCCTCATGAAAATTAAGCAATGAAATTGCTAGGCAATTGGATTAATCCGTTTTTAATGCTTATCCTAAAGTTTGGAAGTGTCTACTTTTCCCTTCACAAATATCACTGACAGCTGAATAATGCATTAACGTTATTAGAATCAGGTTTCAAATTCATTTAACCATATGCCTTTAAGCATGAAAATAACCTTCAGCAAATGTTAATATCTCTTTGTAGCATGTGGGCATAAATCCATCTTCATGTGTTACTTCTGACATTTGTTTTATTCATGAATTTTGGCTAGCATATACCACTCATGATGACAAATTTCAGTTCATTCCATGGTCTCTCACCATCCTTATAAGTTGCCATTATCCAAATATATCAAGTGAATTTTTCTTGATGCATGAATGTTATACTTTTCCTAGAAATAATAAGTAAATATTCAAAGGATTTCTTACTTGTTTTAATTTTATTTGAACTGCTGAGAGACAGATTTTCTTTGGTTTCTCTGTAACTCATTCAGATGAGTAAATCTTCTTAAAAAAGAAAGCTCTGTTTATTATTAAAGAGTATCTGGCAAAATTAGAATAATTTGCAATTTATTATTCTAGTTATTAAGTAAAAGATAATTTTGCATTAATATTGCAAATGTACAATTGAGTAGGCTCAGTGAAATAACTGGTTTTTATTTATGTTTCTTAAAGAAACAAAGAAAGGGAGAGGGAGAGAAAGAGACAGACCACAAACACACACATTTAGCGGGAGAAAGAGAGAGGGAGAAAGAAATAGAAAGCTCTTTCATCTGCTGCTTCACTTTCTTTTTCTTTTTTTTTTTTTAAGATTTATTTATTTTTATTACAAAGTCAGATATACAGAGAGGAGGAGAGACAGAGAGGAAGATCTTCCGTCCATTGATTCACTCCCCAAATGAGCGATACTGTGCCAATCCGAAGCCAGGAACCAGGAACTTCCTCCAGGTCGCCCATATGGGTGCAGGGTCCCAAGGCTTTGGCCGTCCTCGACTGCTTTCCCAGGACACAAGCAGGGAGCTGGATGGGAAGTGGAGCTACCCGGATTAGAACCGGTGCCCATATGGGATCCTGGCGTGTTCAAGGCGAGGAATTTAGCCGATAGGCCACGCTGCTGGGCCCTGCTGGTTCACTTTCAAAATGATTGCAACAGTTAGGGCTGGGCCAAGCCAAAGCCAGGAGGCAAGAGTTTCATCTGGGTCTTTGACATTGGTGGCAGGAGTCCAAACACAGACTATGCTTGCCATTTTCTCCAGATCCATTAGCGGGAAGAAGAATGCAAAGTTAGCTCTCAAACCTACACTCCGACAGGATGCCCCTGTCATGCACACTGGCTGAATCCACTGTTCTATGCTGCAGCTTTAGTTGGAATCTGATTCAAGAAAGGAAATTGTCTAAGGTTTTATCAAACTGAAGGGGATATGAAGGTTGTCTTGGTTGAGTGTGACCGGAAACGTGACACGTGACCTCTGTAAATAACTGCTTGCCTTCCTCAGCGGAAGCATGCCTCATGATCAGGGTGTATGAGTTCCAAAAGAAAGCATTACAAAAAGTAGGGTTACTAATGATTTAACCTTGAACATGAAGTACAACATTACGTCTGCATTCTACTGCTTGAAGCTGTCAGACATGCCCATGCAAGGACAAACACAGGGAAAAGGAGATCCCATCACTTGATGAGGCAGTAACAAAATTCTGTGAGAGCATATGGAGCTAGAAAAATTGCAGCTGTTTGGGGAAACACCATCTGCCTCACTAAAATGTATTTTATTAAAATGTAGCAATATCAGCAGACATTGTTTATAATTAGAGCAACAATATTTTTTTTCTGACAGGAGCATTTTAATACAACATTATTTAAAGCTGTTAGTATTTAATTTTGGGGGGAGGTAGAAAATTTTTCACTTTAATTTTTTTTTCTTTTGTTTACATGGGATGAAGGGGAGGGAGCCACTCCTTGTTATCAAACTACATCAGGACCCAGATGGGATACAGCCGTTTGATGATACCTTAGGCTTCTGTATGGGGAAGAGTGTTCTGAGGGTATTACTTGAGTAGATTTGAGATTCTGAGTTGCTTGCTTCATTGTTCCAGGGATGAAAAAATCTTACCTAGATCTTCTGGTTGACAAAATCCACCTTAATGCCTCCACAGACCCAGGAACGTGGCCAGTTTAATCCCAGCTCCATATCTCCTGTTAACTGAGAGGTTCTGTGCCCCAACCTAGCCAGCCCTTCATAGATTTGGTCCTCATGCATCATTGCAGTGAGTGCTGTGGCTTAGTCTGGAATAACTCCCACCAGGCCAATCTCCAGCTCTGGTTTTTGTGTGCCCTGCCTGGCCCAGCCCATATCCTATCTGGCTCTCATACATAGCAGCCCGGTTTGCTCTCAGACCTGGCCTTCACATATGCTGACAAATGCCATGGCCTTGTCCAGCCTGGCCTGCTGTAGTTCCCATGCTCATTAGCAGTAGGTACAAAGAAGCGGGGGTGTGCCCACAGTCTCCTGTGGTTTTGCTCCCACCTCTGGATCTTGTACCTGCCAAGGAATACAATGGTCCAGCCAGACGTGACTCACAGCCCTGGCCCCTGCCAGCTGCTGTTATGCCCTAGCCCCGCTGGGCTGTACATATTGTGGTTCTGGTATGCACCAGCAGATGAGGCAGACTAGCCCAACCTAGATAACCTCCATTCCAAGCTCTCATGCCAACCCATGGGAGCAGCAGCCCAGAAAGGGAGATCCCCAAATTCCCCTACCAGGCTTGCATCCAGCCCTGGGTCTTGGCACGAGCTGGTGGGTGCTTCAACCCAGATTGGCATGGTCTACCTGCAATCTCAGCTCTTGCTGGCAGGTGTTGTAGTCTAACATAGCACAGCTGGGCACAACACAACCCTGGCTTTCATGAATGCCAGTGGGTGTTGCATTCTGACCCAGCTGAGCTTCTCCTTAGATCCAGCTTACACAAACACTGAATGCTGCAGCCTTGTTTGGCCTGCCCCTCAGCCCCAGCTCTTGTGCTTCACAGTGGTAGCTGTGGCCTAACAAAGGATTTCCACAATTTCTCCTAGCAGGCCTGCTTCCAGCCCAGATCTCATGTGTTCCACCTGCTGCTTGTCCTGATCTGCCTTCAGTTCAGGCTCTGCATGTCCTGATGAGTTCTGCAACCTGGCCCCACCCAGTGGAGCCTCGTCTCAGTCCCAGCTTCCACTAGTGCCAGGTGGGTTCCTGTCAAATGAGTTCTATGGTCTAGCCTAGATGGCCTCTCACCACCCACAATGTGGTGGGTGTTGCAGCCCATCCTGACATCCATCCCCTGCTCTGACACACTTAGCTCAGCTAGATATGCATCCTAGCCCCAGTTTTGTGAGTGCCAGTCAGCGGTTGGTGATGCTATTTAGCCCACCACAGGTCTCCCACCACAGGTCTCCCATTTGGGCGGTTGCCTTGACCTGACTCAGATGCCAAGGAAGAGAAGGCAAAGAGCAGAGACACAGAAGAGAGAGAGGTCTCCAGACATAGTGAGAGGAGAGGGATCCAAGGCAGGAAGAGAGAAAGAGCAGAGAGCTGAGAGCCAGGAGAGCCAAGAGCCAAGACAGCTGAAAGCTAAGAGTAGACATGAGTGGAAGTGTGCCTCTATGTCCAGCAGGCGGGCAGTAGGAACAAGGGGCCGTGAGAGGTTGGTGGATAATGCTGTCATGTGCAGTGCCATGAGTTTATAGTGGATTGACAGGAACTGGGTTGCAAGTTTACAGCAGATTGGGATGAACCTTAAGGAGAACAAGACCTAGGGGAGGCAGATATTTAAAATGGCACGAAGTCTAAAATGATGGGGGTCAATCGTCAGAGCTGATGTTCGAGTTACTCAGTCCTCACAAGGTTTTTCTTTTCTTCTTCTTCTTTTTTTTTAAACATTTATTTATTTTTATTGGAAAAATAGAATTTGCAGAGAGAAGGACAGATGAAGAGAAATATTGAAACATGAAGATACAATGCAATATGCATCTCCACTTCCAAATCAAAGATGGACTCCTAATGAAACTTGTATCTTGAAAATAGGGTGTTGGACTCTTTACCAATGTCCATAGCTACAATGTCAGGATACACTTAAATTGCAGAATGATGGATTTATGACTGTTTGTGAAGGACTGTACTATCATAACAATATAGGGGAAATTAGTGGGGAGAGGAATCTAGGGAGGAGGAGGAAAAATTCCATAGCATATGAAGCTATGTGTTTTTTAATGGGATTATATTCCATCTCTTTTTTCATCCCCAAATGGCTGCAACAGCCAGAGCTGAGCTGATCTGACAGCAGGAGCCAGAAGCTTCTTTTGTGTCTCTCACACAGGTGCAGGATCCCAAGGCATTGTGCCATCCTCCACTGCTTTCCCAGGCTACAAGCAGGGAGCTGGATGGGAAGTGGAACAACCAGAAGGTGAACCAGAGCGGGATGCCAGCACTTGGAGGGGGAGGATTAGCTAGCTGAGTTCAGTGCCCTGGCTCCATATCAATGTTTCTCTTGAATGCAATCATTAACACACAAACTGAATATAAATTCTTTACCCTTTGTTCTCTATTCTTTTTAGAAGTAAATCACTCACTATTCTTTCTGAATAAAGATTTCATGCATTATAAACCATTATCCAATGTCTCTCAGGCACTTATATTTAGAGAAAAAAATATCCAGATTAATTTAATCTTCCCTTAAGAGATAAAATTTCTAGTATTTTATACTGTTTCTT